AGAAATATGATATTGAAGGTGACTAATGGAATAACCTTAAAAATCCAAGGAGAAGAAGTAAAAGTTTTAAAAGATGTTCCATTTGAGGTGAGAAAGCGGAGGAAACAATACAAAAATTGGACTTTATTTCTACAGAAAAATTCCACTCCCTACAGATGGATAATCCCGGAAGGACTTATCTTCAACTTCAAAAAGAAAAAAGAAAAGATTGACTCTGTCCTTAAAGCAAAAGCATTTTTGGAACAGCATCAAAGCCCAGCAAAAGGAAAAGTAGAGGACAATATTGTCACAGAAAAACATGGTTCCAGAAGCAGTGATAGCTCTCCAAGTAGCTCCTCTGAGGAAGATTTTGACTCTGAATCAGCTGCGGCTCCTAAATCATTTAAGGTTAAGCTGCCCTTTGATAAGAACAAACGTGGAGTGAAAAAATCAGCTAAATAACCCGATTCTGAAAGCCTGTTTTTTCTTTTCTTTGTCTATTTACTAAGATGCACACACTACAGTTAATTTTGTTTGTACTGCTTAAGATAGAAATATTAACTTTTAATCTCCAATTATGTAAATGCTAAATAATGAGGAAACATTAGATAACCGAATGTTAGAACTTTTTTTGATCCCTGCTTACTCTGTATTTTAGTTTAGTTTATTCCTTTTCCCTATACCTTGTAGTGTGTAGAGATAAAAAGCAATAAAAAGTAGGCTACAAAGTGCATGTGGTGGTAAGGAAAACAGTGCCTGTTTGAACACAACACAGCAATGTTATCAGTATGAACTGATACCATCTCTGGTTGCCATGGCACCACACCAAACCTTTAATGATCTACAATTAGACAACAAACAAGTAATCAACAAGGAGGAAAACGTAACCACCATAGTCAATCAGTGCATATACATATCTAATACAGCATCTAACTGAACTGAATTTGTGATGCTTCTGTTAATATTCTGTTTCATAAACTGTGAAACTGCATTTGTATTGAGTTCTAATTGTTATTAGCTACAGTGAGGTTGTGCATTTTTGTACCTCATCCCACTCATCTTTTGCCCACAGTCAAGCTATTTACCAGGAAGATGCAGATCAGGAGCAGCTCATACCTGGATCATAATGGAGGCCCTTGTAGACAGGACAGGTAGGATGCACAGTCTTGCCTGGATGACTCATAGAAATCCACAGGTGCAGACGTAGCCCCAGAAGTGCATCCATGCACACAGAATTCTCTAAACCAGTGATCCTGAGCTGCTCCATCTCTGGATCTTTTCTTGGGCTACAGAGCCGTGGGATTCAATGCTTGGTTGAGCCCTTGCCGGGAACCCCCCAGTTCAATATCTCTATGACTCATCTGCTTGACGAAACTTTGTCCAAAACATGTTAGGAATGGAGCTCTCATTTCCTGTAACTCCCACTGCTAAACAGTGAGGTGCGATTCTGTGTCCACTCATTTAACAGGAGAGGCAGATATCAGAGTGGGGATATACAGACCATGACCCATTGAGACCACCCTCTGGGTATCAAGATAGAATGGCTCTTGTCTGGATGCTAAGAGGTTGTGGCACTCTGAGTTAACTTAGAAGAATCATCTGCTAGTAATATGTACAACCAGACATCATACTGCCAAGTCACCTGCCATCGAATAAAGATTGAACCGTGATTAAAAAATAGGCACAGCAGATCCATATCTATCTATCTATCTATCTATCTATCTATCTATCTATCTATCTATCTATCTATCTATCATCCATCCATCCATCCATCCATCCATCCATCCATCCATCCATCCATCCATCCATCCATCCATCCATCTATCAAAAGAAAATCCCCTCACTGTAAAATCAATGCCTAGGCCAAACCCCTGGACCTAGAAACATGAAATTCAGGGACAGCACTCCTACCATGACATAGATGCTCACTGAGAAGAAGGTTTTAGAAATTTGACCCCAAAGGGGTCAAAAGGGATAAAATGTGCTCCCCCCATTGCTTCCTATGTGGCTGCCAAGCTCCTGCCTCCTTGGACCCCCCTCTCTGATTGGTCAGCTGCAGAGTTCAGTGTTCTGGTTTTTTTAAAAAAACTGTTACAGGAGACTTCAGAGAGCTAATGACAGTTGAGGAAATCAGGAATGACCTGTGAGGTGCAGCAGTGCTGCTGGCCCAGCCTCCCCATGCCTTCAAACACCTCCCTCCTACACCCCACCTCCTACACCTGACAGGCGGTTGTCTGTCAGGTGCAGCAGTGGGTACAGGGTGCTTAAAGACATTAGGGAGCCTGCCCCAGCAGTAACGCCTTAGCAATCCTGCCAGTCCAACCTCCACAATGGCTTGCAATACCCTGGGCCCTCCCCCTTCTACAGTGGACAGGCAGCTGCCTGTCAGGTGTAGGAGATGGGGTGGGATGCTTATAGCCACCAGGGAGGCTTGCTCAGCAGGATTGGCTTAGTGCTGCTGCTAGCCCAGCCTCACTGATGCCTTTAAACACACTCCCCCTACACCAGACAGGTGGGTTTCTATCAGGTGCAGGAGTAGGACCAGGGTACTTTAATCCATCAGGGAGGCCACCTGAGCAGAAGCACTTTAGCAATGCTGCTGGGCCAGCCTCCCCAGTAGCTTTAGACACACCCCCACTCACCCCTCCTTTACCTGACAGGCAATTGTCTGTCAGGTGCAGGAGAAGGGGCAGTGCATTGAAAGCCATCGGGGAGGCTGCCCAAGCAGCATCTCCTAAGCAATCCTGCTGGCCCAGCCTCCCCAGTGCCTTCAGACACACTACCCCTCCTACAACTGACAGACAACCGCCTGTCAAGGGTTGGAAGGAGTGCGAGTTCCTTAAAGCCATCAGGGAGGCTTGCTCAACAGGATCTCCTTAGTGCTGCTGCTGGCCCAGCCTCCCTGATGCCTTTAAACACAATCCTCCCCCCCCTTACACCAGACAGGCAGGTGTTTGTCAGGTGCAGGAGCAGGGCAAGGGCACTTTAATCCATCAGGGAGACCAGCCCAGCAGGATCACCTTAGTGATGCTTCTGGCTCAGCTTAGCCACACTCCCACCTACTATGGAAGTCTACCCCAAATTTGTAGAAAAGTGGTTTCCTGTATTATGTTCTTTAACTTATCACAATGTGGGTTCTAGAAAATTGGTTCATATGAACTTGCTCAATATCTGATTGCTCGGATGTTGTTTTGAATACGTAGTTATGTCCCACTTCTTAAATGTAACATAAATGAGAAGCATTTTTGTAAAAAACAAACAGTATGCCCTGCATCCCCCCCCCCCCAAGAACACAAATGCCCAGAC